CCGGGCGTTCCCCAGGGACCAGGGTGTTCGGCCAGCTGGAGCCGGACGGCGGGACGGACGGAGGGCGACGGACGGATTCACCGCAGGTGGCCACCGTCCCTCCAAGTGTTTTCTTGATTGTAAATTGGGATAGTGATTATTCATTTATATAGCGCCCTGACCGGGAATCGAAGGTGGCCTCCTGGTTCATGGATCAGCCCTCAACCACTGCGCCCCACCGGCCGCCTCTGATCACCCCTTTGGGTTGGCTGTGAAGGGCGAGCAAGGGAACGTTTGTTCTCTACCGTCAGGTGCATCCACCAGCCCCGGTGGCCTTGTACCTGAGGGCCATGGACCTGCTTGGCTGGCTCTGAACTGGCGGGTGTGTGTGTGTGTGTGTGTGTGTATCTCTCATCACTGATGTTTCTATCTCTCTATCCCTCTCCCTTCCTCTCTGAAACCAATAAAAATATTTTTAAAAAATTAAATGTAGTATTACCATATCATCCAGTAATTCCACTCGTAGGTTTATACCGAAAAGAATTGAAAGCAGAGATTCAAGCAAATATTTGTACCCCAATTTTCATGCAGTATTCATAACAGACAAAATGTAGAAATAACCAGTGTCCATCAGCAGAAACATGGTGTATATATGTATGTGTGTGTGGTGTGTGTGTATGTATGTATATATGTGTATGTGCGTATGTGTGTATATATGTATATGTATGTGTGTGTGTGTGTGTGTGTGTGTAGACACGGATCCCTTTGAGGATCCGATGAAAGCCAAAGACTCGCCTTCTTGTTGGACTGGAATAAGATAATGGACACTGTGGCCCTTTGCGAGCTGTAAAGCTCCGCACAGTGATGAATGGTGGAGAGACAGAGAGAAGCATCGAGATGAGAGAGGCACATTGATTGCTTGCCTCCAGCACATGCCCCAACCAGGTACCTGTGTTTGACCGGAATCGAACCTGGGATCCTTCAGTCTGTGGGCTGATGCTCTACCCACTGAGCCAAACCGCCTAGGCCTGAGTTGTTTTCTAATGATAGTTGATACAAAACCTTATTTCAAATAGTCTTGAAGTTCCCTTCTTTTTTGGTCTGCTTCTTGTCAGATATGATTACTGACAGTCCTCGGGTGACGTCGGACTCAGCGTGCGTCGTTTCGTGGTTACGTTGCCATCTCCCATTTATAAAATAAAAAAAAAGAAAGTTCCATCATTTCGACATATGTACATATGTGCTTTATGGTTTTTATTATTTATTTACCACAAGTAAGAAAGGTCAGGAATTGTTATCTTTCTTTTAATTTTTTCACTGTTTCACTTCATTGCTGCTGTGTATGTGTTCCGTGTGAGTGACTAGGTGCTTATGCAGGTGGGTTCCGACGTAACCCGAGGACCTACTGTAGCTCATAAAGTGGTGAAAGGAGGTCTCAGACCTAGGACTAGGGGGAGGGAGAGCTCTGCTACTTCCTTCTGCTCCCTTGTGCTTTCACTGTTGTTATAGTCTGTCTACAGTTTCTTGGAATATTTTTAAGCTGCTTGTGTGTTTTGAGTTAAAACTGGGTAATGTATGGGAAGTAATGAACCTTGACCCCTGTCTCACACAACATACAAAGTTAATTCCAGATGATCATAGTCCTAAGTGTGAAAGTTAAACAATAAAAATTAATATATGAAAATGTCATTTTTGGAGTAGGCAAATTTTCTTAAATAGGACACAAACACTAATCATTAAAAAAACGTGGTAAATTAAATTCCATTAAAATCAAGAACTTCTGCCAAAACCGGTTTGGCTCAGTGGATAGAGTGTCGGCCTGCGGACTGAAAGGTCCCAGGTTAGATTCCGGTCAAGGGCATGTACCTGGGTTGCGGGCACATCCCAGTAGGAGATGTGCAGGAGGCAGCTGATCAATGTCTCTCTCTCTCATCGATGTTTCTAACTCTCTATCTCTCTCCCTTCCTCTCTGTAAAAAATCAATAAAATATATTAAAAAAAAATCAAGAACTTCTTTCATCAAAAAGAAACCAATAAAACAAAAAGGCAACTTTCAGACTGGGAGAAGATATTTTCAGTATTCCCTATATACACAACAAAGAACTTGTATTCATCATATGTAAAGAACCCTTACAAATTAATAAAATAAAATAAAAAAGATAGACAACCCAAAGGAAAAAAGGCAAAAACTTGAATAAGCATGTCACAAAAGAGGGTATCCAAATGTCCAGTTAGCATGTTAAAAAGTGTTCGATTTAATTAGTGACTAGGGAAAAGCAAATGAAACGCAATGTAATCCCACCACGTATCTTCCAGAATGACAAAACAATGATGGGACAGCCCTGGCCAGGGTGGCTGATCTGGTGGGAGCATCATCCCACACACTGGAAGGTCGTGGGTTTGATTCCCTCGTCAGGGCACATACCTAGGTATGGGGTTTGATCCCTGGTGGGCCGATTGATATTTCTCTATCTCCCTTCCTCTCTCTATATATTTTTTTAATTAAAAAAAATAATAAAATGGAGTCTACGCAGTGGCTGTTGCCTAGTGTGATTCTTACCAGCGTATGGGAATATGTTCCTTGCTCCCAGACTCTAAATCTGGTGATGTCAACTTGTGACAGAATTTAAGACCGGCAAGTTAGGCGCTTGCCTGTGGGTGACATAACCTGCAGAGCCACGCACACCTGTGTTCAAAGTCCAGCTCCAGCTCAGGACCTTCGTCTTTCTGGACGTGATCTGTCAGGTGGGGATGATGAGGGGACTAAGCAAAGGACGGCGAGACTTGAGATACTACATGCAGAGGTGTTCGCGTACTGCCGACTGGGCACGTAGCGAGCAATCGGCACGTGGGAGCCGTTACCAGGATGGTGAGTAGCCACCTACGATGTGCGTTTCCTGGTTTCAGGACAGTGACATACAATCACGGACCCGGCTGTCTGTACCCCTGACGTGTGCTGCCGGGAGCGCTGACGCTGCCTCAGGCCGAAGATGCCTCTCTTTGGGAACACGTTCAGTCCGAAGAAGACGCCCCCTCGGAAGTCTGCCTCTCTCTCCAACCTGCATAACGTGAGTGTCGGTCCTCAGGTCGGCCCGGTGTGCACGGGACGGTTGTCGGGTCTCTGTAGGGAGTGGGGTTCGCAGAGGTGTGCACGTAGGAGAGCACCCTTTCACTCCTCTTGCTGTGGCTAAAATCCGTTTTAACTCCTACTCACTCAAGAGCCTGATAAGCGGTCAACCTCGCGATGATTTCTGGCTCCAAATATTACCCCTTGTGACTTCACTTTAGTCCCAGGACACAGCCAGGAGTCGACTTAGTCGTGTCTAAGAATCAAATCATTCTGAAAGGGTGTTTGCCACAGTTAGTGGCGTTCAGAGGGTATGTCACAGCTCCCGCGGCGTCTCTAAGCTCCTCGCGGGCAGAGCGGTCACATTCTTCTCTGAGCACCCAGGACTGGTTCTGTGCGGGGTGGGTGCTCAGTCGATGTAGAAACATCAGAAAAATACATTAAAAACACGTTCCTAGCTTTTTCGGAAAACATCCTGGTGCATCAAGCAGTATGTTTCTTATAGTTTAGAATTTTTTGTTGCACTTACTTGATTGTCCGATTTTTGTGTGTGTTTTTTTAAATATATATTTTATTGATTTTTTACAGAGAGGAAGGGAGAGAGATAGAGAGTCAGAAACATCGATGGGAGAGAAATATTGAGAGAGAAACATTGATCAGCCGCCTCCCGCATACCTCCCACTGGGGATGTGCCCGCAACCAAGGCACATGCCCCTGACCGGAATCGAACCTGGGACCCTCAGTCCGCAGGCCGACGCTCTATCCACTGAGCCAAACCGTTATGGCTTGATTGTCTGATTTTAAAAACATTAAATGTGCTGGGTGATGACTAGAGGAAAGAAGTGAGTTATTGGGGTCCTGTCGTTAGGAGAGGCGCTGGGGCAGGAGCCCGGGTGCCGGCGCCCTGTGACGCTAGCGCAGCTCTCCCCACAGCTGGATCGGTCCACCCGCGAAGTGGAGCTGGGCCTCGACTATGGAACCCCCACCATGAACCTGGCGGGACAAAGCCTGAAGTTTGAAAATGGCCATTGGGTCGCAGGTGGGCTGATTTCCTGCCACTTTGCCCAACAAGATGATGGAGGGGCTCCCCCACCCCTGGTAACGGCTGTCCGTCTGCCCCCAGAGACCGGGGTCAGTGGAGGCGTGGACCAGAGGGAGGCGCAGCGCCTCCGGCGGCGGAACCAGCAGCTGGAGGAGGAGAACAACCTGCTGCAGGTGAAGGTGGAGGTCCTGCTGGACATGGTGAGGACGGTGCTGGGCAGCGCTGCCCGGGCGTGGCTTTGGCGGGAGGCTCCGCCCCACGTCGGCCCATCCAGCTCGCCCCCTCCGAGTGCCCGTTGGCCCGGGAACATTGAATCCAAAGACACAAAGGGAAATCGGGCGCAGTCCCCACCTTCAAGCACTCGCGGGCGGCGGGAGGGGCAGTAAGCACAACGCCCGTGCCTCCTGGTAGGGCCTGGGTCAGCGCGTGACAGAGTGACTCTGCCCAGACGGAGGGGCGCACCTAGGAAGGGATGTTTGAGCCGAATGTGGAGCGATAGGAGGAGGGCGGGGCTGGGCTGACCCCCTGCTCCTGACCTGGCGACGTCCTGCCCCACACGGGCATTCGTCAGTGCCCGGCGGCACCTGCCCACACGCACTCTGCATCGGCCTCCGCTTCCTGTGGCTGTTAGAACCCAGCCGCTGCTGGGCCCGGAGGGACAGGTGCAGGGGGACTGAGAGGCAGGAGAGCGGGCGCTGGAGTGGTTAGAGCCTGCGCTCTGGAGCTCGCCGTCCTGGCTCCTGGCCCAGCTCCACGCCGCTCGTGTGTCTTTAGGCAAATGACTCACCTGATCTGCGTGAAGAACTCCGTTTCTTCAGCCATAACACAGACACGATGGCGGCTGCACCCTGTGACGTTAGTAGTACAAGGGAAGCTGGGAGTGGTGGATTGCTCAGGAGCGTAGCTCCTCTTCACAGCCACTGACCCTGAGCGACCATGGCTCTGTCCCTGTCGGGAACGGAAGTCCAGGGAAGAGCCTGATGAGGAAAGTGGCGCTCTTTTTTAAGCGTCGTTGTGGGAGCTGCAGCCCAGAAACAGTCAGTCCTTTAGCTTAGAATTACCCGTACCTGCCGTTTCCTGTTCTCTTTTTTTTCAAATTATAAGAGCAAGTTTATTTAGACATGGACGGAGGTAGACGTGAGCTGGCGGGGCCGTGTGGGCTCAGGAAACAAGTGACAGAGCAAAGGAAGGGCCCTGGGAGCTTGGGCGAGGGAGAGGCAGAGGCAGTGCTCCGAGGGAAGGCGGCAGGGAGGGCAGCGTGCTCCCAGCCTGTTCCCTGAGGCCTGCCATCCTGAGCAAGGTCAATGCCCGGTGATCCTGGTGACCAAAACCGCCGACACAGGGGGTTGTGAATGCCCTTAAGTACTCGAGGTGGCTACGTTCTGCCCGGTCACAAAGGGGTTCCTTCCGGAGGCTGGCAGGCCGCGGGAGAGAAACGCCAGGCGCCTTTCCCCGTGGGCAGGGCTGGCCTCGCAAACCTGAACGCCGCCCACAGCGTCCTCCTCTCTAACAGCCTGCTGCTCTCCTTCCAGTTCTCTGAGACCACGGCCGAGTTCCAAA